GAAAATAATATAACAACAAAAAAAGCCAAAGAGAGCACAAGGGAAACACGGAAAAACATAAACACGTAACCACACACACATAAAGGTAAAAACGGGGAAGCTGCTGGAAATAGCGATGGAAAAAGGGCGAGGGGATAAAGAACGACACAGAAGGGGGGTTGATTAAAACAGGGTTGCCACCGCCTCCATAGAGATGCTTAGAATCGCGGTCCCTATCTATTGTTGTCAAAAAAATAGAAAAAACCGAAAATATAAGCGGAGAAATAAGAGCAGAACACAAAATCAAGAAAAACCACGGCACACAAACCACAAACACATTCACACCTGTGGTCAGCCAAATAGCACACTATAAAAATAATATAGATTCCTACATTCAACAGTTGTGGTGAGAAGTCCGAAATAAATGGAAATGTTCAACATTTTCAAAATTCCTGTACACAAAAAGAAAAGTTTATAAGTTAACGATCGAATATTCAATCATTATTTTTAGATTGAGATATGATTCATTGAACGGGAGATTCTAGTTTTTCTGTGTACGATGTGCCGCAAAAATATCTCACAGTTTGCCATTTAGCACATCAGATACTTTAGGTTAGCTGTAAAAGTTGGCAATAAACAATTATCGTTTCGGCATTGCATGCTAATTAAAAAGTTACTCACAGAATGAGTTACTTAATAAGGATATTATAAATTGTATAAATTGTATTTTAATTTAAGCAAAAAAGGAATTTTTGTGATGATAAGGCAACAAACTTTTAAATGAAACTTTTAATGAAATGCATTATAGATCTTAAAATTTGTTGGTAATATTTTTATGACGTGCACGGTGCACACGTATGTAAATGGGTAATAGGGCTAATGCACAGTGGGAAATACGAGTACGATCCCATTTGAATATGACAGCATGACTGTGGATAAATATAGAATTTACTACTCCCGATTAATTCGCTTTTTGAATTACGTGCTCCTCCTCGTTTGCCACACAATATATTTTTGGCATTAAGTGATTTGAAATTATTTGGCATTGCTGGTCAGCGATAAGTCCACTAACAATTGATAAGGAACGATTTGAGGCGAAGATGGATGGGTGACGTTAGTGGCAGAAAATAAATACTTATAACATTTCGGCGATTTGTTGCCATTGCCAATGGGAATTTGTCGAGAGCATTATAGTATTTACGAGTTATTATAAATCTATTATACATAAACATTTGAAAATCCCACGGAATGCTCGAGCTAAGGAACACAAGTATATTTCTTTTGGTATGCTCGCATTTTTCCCCATTTCCGTTACAATTTCAAACAACTAATACACAATTGGCATCGTTCCCAATGAAATTGACAGTATTCAAGATAAAAGATATAAAGAAATGCTTGCTATACAAGAATTTTTGCAGAGAAATTAAAGGGAAATTAAGTCGGCACAGGAATTAGAATTATAGCTACAAAAACTAGTACAATACAATGTTAATAAATAAACTTGATCAGCTAAAAACCTGCCTATGAAATGTATTATAGCATCAGAAGCATCTGGAATTAAATATATTTTTTTTGCAGGGCTTACAATTGTTTTATATCACAACAATTTAAACCAATTTGTTTTGCAAGTATTTGTTGTAAAGCTGACAGCTTTAATTCCATAAGTTGAACAAAAAAAACTACACTAAACTATGCATAATCTTTGTGTGGAAAAATGTATTCAGTCTACCTTGTGGCCTCATAATCGCGTATCTTTTGTTCTTGCTGGTTTTTTGTTTAGCCTAAAAGTTAATAATAATTTCCACTGTTCCGTTGCACAGAAGCGGCAACAACAATTACACACGCACTGCTGGTCAGCGGCACAATTACCGTTGTTGGCATTACAACAATGTGACAATGGGCCTGTCCCGTCTGCCTATGATTATAATTATGCCTATATGATTATGATTATGACTGGGTCCGCTGGTGATGATCATGATGGCGATGACGATGATGATGATGATGAGCACGCTGTATGCATGTCAAGTGTGCCGTGGGTACCGGAAAATCAATTGACTGAGTGACAGGCGGACAGTTCGAGATGTACTTTCACAATAGCTATAGGCATGAGCAAGGCCCACCGGCCGATCAAATTTCTAAAGTCAAAAAAAAAAAAAATTGAGAAAAAACAGAATCATGTCGAGGTCAGCTGTTCAATCAGCCTCCTTTCGTTGGTTTTTTTTTGCAGAGAAAAGAAAAGTAAATGGTTTGATGTAAACTAAAGAAATGCTTTTCTTCTGCACAAACGGTCACACTGTGTTCATTTAATGAAATAGCACACTAGAAAATGCACAAAATTTCTGCCTATTTATTAATATTATTGACCTATGAATACATGGATCATTTCATGGAGTATATTATATACATTTTTTCCCGTGCATCTGGATAATCGATTAGAAGAATAAAGAGCCGCAAGATTCCCGGTTTTTCTTTTCTGCTCTCCACGTTCTTTTGCCTTGTTCTTTCCTTTCTTTTGTGACTCTGACTAACTGTAAGAAAGAAAGTTCTACAGCAAGTGCCGAGCTCAAAAGCTGATGACATCACGCTCCACCGGCAAATTAATGCTCCCCACATCCAATAAAAAATGAAGAAACACACATGTGGAGAGACTGGCGAACAAAAAGGTCACAACATGTGTTAAGTCTAATCTCTCCCAAAATGGAATATGCCACCTAGACGAAACAGCAATAGACAAAGCAAAACAAATTGTCAGCAAATTTGATTTGATGCCCGTTTGACAGCCATCACACGAAATAAAACACCTTTTATATTTGTCTTGTCAGCCGTTTTAACCCAATGCTATTTTTCATATTCTGGAAAATAATAATAGCAAAGTTATTGTTCTTTAGAAACTGGTTAGAAACATTCATTGCCATTATATTCGCTTCATTATAAATACTCACCAAACTCAAAAACTTAATCTTTTACTAAATATATAAATAATTTAACTGATCGAATGCTTCAAATTGCGCCTGTTATCGAGATAATCGAATAATTTGGGCGTAGATTATCACATTGCAACTCTACTCCATGATAGTAATCGATTGTCAAGCTTTGTTATCGACGTGACTTCAGCTTGAACTAAAGTAAAAGCGCCCAATTCGAATCTAGTGGGTGCGGCACATCCATTAGATACGCGTTCAGATACGGATACACAAAATGCAGCCGAAAAAGATGTGGGTCAACAACCACCGAATGAAGTTGACCCACTTATATATATATATATTGCTTTAAAATGCACACACACAAACACACTTACGTTGGCGACATACGCACATGGGGTCATTATGTAATAAAAACGATGACGATGTTTAACGGCATTCCAGTTAGAATGACTGCAGCGCCGGCGCATTATCAACTCCAATTGGAGTTCCTTGGTGGTGGGAAATGCGAAAAGGCAGACGGAGAAAAACCCAAACAAACAAACCCATCTTCCAATTGGACTGATAACAGAAAGAGGCGTAGAAAACGGGAGAGAGGATAAATAAAAATACAGTGGCAGCTCGGCAATTTGAATCCTTTTTGGCGGTTTTTCTTATTGGAAAATAATATCTTTTTGGTATTTTTAATTACTTTTTTAAATTTTCCTTTTCATATTTTGGGGCCATCTTCAAGCACCACTTTTATGCATAATTGACTTGTGTATGGAACATCTCCTATTTAAATACGCTTAATTAAAATGGTTTCCAATTACTTGAAAAAAGATACACTGGTTTTATTGCGTGGAAAGAACCCGAATCTAATGAGCTTCTCAAGCAATGAAAACAAATGTTGAAATGTATTTTTAATTGTTTCCGCTCCTACTTTGCATTATACACTTCGTTACGATTTAATTTAAGGCCTAGCCTCACCATTTTATTTGCTATATCCATCAGATGAGTGAACACTGTACGTGGGTTAAAGCTACATAGGTTGCAAAGTTTATAAAACCAAACTGCTACCGTCGTCAGCGGTAATTATCGATTCAAAAATTTCTGTGTCTCAAGCTTCCTGCCTTTGGGGGAGGTTGTGGGTAAAAAACGCGGGGATTTGGGGGGTTTTAGTTTTGGGGTTGGGTGCGATGAGCACAAAGTTCATCGCTTGCTATTTGGGTTGATGGCGATGTACGTATATATGTACATATGGTGGTAATGTAGAAAACCCAGCTGCACTTTTTGCCTAAAGGCTTTGGGAAAAGAGATCAGCTTTGGATTGGCCCAAAAACAAAAACTGGCGGGCTTACTACGAATTAGAAGAGCGAAACAAAAGTGAAAGCTGCCAAAAAGTCATTAGACGGATATTTTAATTAGGTAAAAGTAGGCCCACTTTCGGGCCATACACAATAAAGGCCCTGCAATGAATGCCGAAGATAAGCCACACATTGTTACACTGACAAAAATATATACAACTTTTACAAGCTGTCTGAAAAGTGCAAAGCCAGTTCAAATAAAGCCAGAATATATATGCAAAACTTTGAAATCCACCTCATACTTCTACTTTTCGCAATACCAGAGTTTTTTTTTACTCACGATGATAAACCACACATTGTGACACTGATAAAAATATCTACCATCTATAAATACTATCTAAAAAGTGCATTACTTCGTTTACTCAAATAAAGCCAAAACTTGTATTAGGAACCTGGTAACATTTCTTGATAACAAAGTTTACTTTTATTTATTTTGTCGGTGCAAATAAGAGATTTCCTTCACGTAGGAGAAATAGTGAATAGTCTGTGCTTCGTTTTTTAATTACCTACTCTTTAAAATATTGACTACACATTTTGGAGAACCACTACCTTGAATAGCCATAACTATTCTATATTTATTTGGACATGAAGGCAGGTTTTTATAATACCTGCATAAGAAGAAGTTCCTTATATGGCAACGTATTATTAATATACAAATATGTATGTGGTTAGTTTTATTTAGCAGGGAAAAAAGAATATTGCCTTCTTAGCAACTATTTCGGTATAGTTATAGTGAATCAAGTTTGTTACTTACTCTTCCTGCACCTCAATGCCGCTGTCATCCATAGTCCCCTTGGCATAGTCTCCACTGTAGCCACCGGCCAGCGGCAGATGCGACGCCAGCGTCGACGCCAGCTGCGGCTGACCAGCGGCGGCAGCGGCGGTATCGGCAGCAGAATTCGCTGCCGCATCGAACCCAAAAGTGGACTCCATGTGCTCCGACAACGGCGTCGGCGTCTCGAAGACGAGCGTCTCCACCATCGAACCCTTCGAGGAACCAAAGGAGACGCTGTGGAAACAAACAGTTAGAAGGTTAAAGGTCATGGTCAATCTAAATCCTGATAATCATGGTAATCTAAAATCCTGGTAATCCAAAAACAAGGTAATCTAAAATTATGGTAATCTAAAATCCTGGTAATATGAAATCATGTTAAAACTAACAAGCCCATTATAATAATAATGAACTTTGCAAAATTCTCTATGGGCAATAAGAATAAAAAAATCGAAGAAGTGAAGTTTTAGAAAGAAACCTGTAAACTAGTGTTGACCTAAATCAAATTCATTTTCGGTTAAATAATCGACAAGTAATCCCTTGAATACCCTTCAAGATATATAGCAGAAATTAGAAATTATAATTGATCGGTCAGGTTGCTTTTAAGTGATGATCATGAATTGCAAGACTTTCTTATATCTATTTTAGCCTTTCCGAAAGTATTTGTATTTGGACTGAAGTTTTTGGCGAACATTTTATGTAAGTTCCCTGAATCTAAAGTTCCAATTATGGGAAACTGAGGTACTTTTATGTTTAAATCAAAGTTGAGGAAGCAAGCAGGTTAGGTTCATTAACTTTGCCCTATCACTAATACACTAGTGCATAGATAAATTGAATAGTTTGAATAAGAGTTAGTAATAGTATGTAATTTACCGTTTGAGGCCGACGCTTTTGGTGCCCAATTTGCTCAGTTTGCCGGGTTTCTTTTGGGGGCGTGGGAATTTATCGCTCAGATCGCTGGATATATCCTCATCATCAGCTGCTGTTGTTGCAGTTGTTATTGTTGTTGTTACCGGTTCTACTCCTGCCGTCGTCGTTGTTGTTGCTGTAGCTGCTGCAGCTGCCGCCGCATTGTTGTTGTTGCTGCTGCTGCTGGCCTCGTTGCTTTTGCATTTGCTGTTATTCTTATTACTTTTATTATTAGCCATGTTTTTCGCACTGACCACAAGCGAACCATTATTGTTGTTGTTCACATTGTTGTTGTTTTGTTGCGTTGTTGTTGTGTGCACCAGTGGCAGCGACGTTGGCGGCGCAGCAGCAGCGACGCCGGCAGAGAACGTCGTCGCAGGCAGCGGCGCAACAACAATCTCTTCGCTTAGCAATAGCGTTCGCTCATCACAGTCGGCAGCGACGCCGGCGGCGACGTCAACGTCGGCAGCGACGCCAGCAGAGCCGTTTGACAGCATTGCGGTTGCAGTAAAACGATTCGATTTCGATTTCGCGGCTAACGGTGCATTTCGAGGGGGCGGCGTGGTGGGCGGGGCCAGGGCCAGCATAGGTATATCTTTATATGTATAGGTGCGCCACACACACACCCTTAACTAAATCGCAATTTGTGTGTGCAAAATAATGACAACCCAAAAAAATAAACAACTAAACAAAACCAAAGCACTTGCACAAAGGCACACAAAAATATTTCTATATATTTTTTAGCACATTAACGCACCTCTGTAAACAGCAACAAAAAAAAATAAGCAGCAACAGCTACCGCAACTGCGACTGCGACGTCGACGGAGGCAGCGGCTGCGGCAGAGGCGTCGGTGACCTGCACTTTAGTTCCCGACCAAAAACTCGCGTTTATAAATAAATATGCATGTGCATTTAATAAATCCGATGGCGCGCGCTCTGTTGCTCTTGTCCTGCGATTCGGATCTCGAATTTTTCGGATCTCAGCGATACAATCGGAACAATCGTGTGTGTATATTTGGCAGCGCTTCGAATTTCTGTTCTGTTCTGTTCCGTTTTGTTCGAACGCACTGGCGATGACACCCGGCCGATAGGTCGACTGCCCGATAAGTAGCACGCCACTTGCGATAGTTGCAACGATAGTTTTTGTAAAGGTAATAATAAATAGTTAATGCAATGAAAATAATTGGTGTCTAATAAAATTAAGCAGTATTTAGCTTAGAAAAAAATTACAATTACTTACATGAAAAGTTATGCTTAATTTCTACGACGTTGTCAAAAAATATATATATAAGATGTGCTCAAGGTTCGCAATAAATATGAGTAGTAATATTCAGAGCAATACTATCGTGATATACTAGCTTAGATATTGTTACATCGAACACAATAGTATAGCGAATTATTCATGCAAATAAATAATAATAATGTAAGAAATATATTATCAATTTCTTCAACAACACTGTTTTGGCCGATTTGTCAGTCATCGATAGCTAATCGATAGGCGCAACTTAGCAGTTATTCCATCCCTATAGAGATGAGCAAAATTGCAATTTTCTGTATTAATATTCGCAGCAGAAAAGCCACAAATAAACAGCAATAAATCGGTTTACATGGGAGTTACAGCCGCGATTTAACGTGAATAAATCGTGGGGCTGCAAAAGCGTGAAAAGCCCACCGAGGTAAAGTCGTCAATGCGAGGAAAATCGCTCATCTCTATTACAAATACGAAAATGAAACTGCGTGCATTCTAAATGGTAAGTTAAACGCCCAGAAAAAAACGGTTAGTGATGTTCACTAAACAAAATACCCAATTACACGGCTATAATTAATTGTTTTTCAATTGCGGCGGGTGAAAACAATAAACATGCCACACATTTGCAGCAAAAACAACAATCAAAATAAGCACACACTAATGCGCAAATGTTTTTCTCTATTTTCATTTTTTCCTTTTTGTTTAAAACAAAGTGCATAAAACAACAACAATTACACGCTTTAATGGTTTTGTACACTTCAACAAATTCTGAAATACATTTTAATGCTAAACCAAAACACACCCAATTTTTACCTGGGCGTGTGTGTGTGAATGTGAAAAATCCTTTTACAGTGCGCGACATAAAAACAAGTGCGAAAATTTATAAATAAGTGCATTGCTTTTGTTTATAGGTTTTATTACCATGACTCACATAGAAAATTACTTGTTCTGCAGAAATAGAACGCACAAATATTGCCGGTTCAAAAATACCGGTTAGCCCGGTTAAGAAAATGCAAAAAAAAAGAAAAAATGTTTAAGAACCACAATCACTTTGGCCACAAAACCCTAGCCCACATTTAATAGTAGCTAAAATTACGCAAAAATGAAAAAAAAAAAAAAATTACCAACCAACTTCTTGCGCTTAAAAGTTATTAACTGTGTTGTCTAAAAAAAAGATTTTTTTAAAATAGAAAAATGAGTGTGTGAGGTAATCTCCGGCATTCATTTGGAACACTCTAGAGGAACTATTTAAAAATAATTTGGCCTAGAAAATGAGTTGAACTCTTCAATGTTTGAGGTACACACACCTTTTTCCATCGAATCAAATTAAAAAAGAAACACGTCGTCACGTTTGTGACATCAAATTCTAGTAATATTTAGAAAAATTCAGTTTCACCTTAGCAGTCCGCCAGTAGTTATTATTGAAATGTATCAAATTTGCTACAATATTTCCCTACCATACCAGCCACATGGGAACCATGACCAAGGATTACGACTATCTGCTGAAGGTTCTTCTGGTGGGCGACAGTGATGTGGGCAAGCACGAGATCCTCTCGAACCTGGAGGATCCCTCCACGGAGAGTCCCTTTTGCAGCGGGAACGGTAAGTGCTGGCTATATCCCTTGAACGACCGCCGATCTGCAATCCAATCTAATAGACTGCACATCTCATATCTTCCAAACGGTAGCCTACAAGACGACCACCATCCTGCTGGAGGGCAAGCGGGTGAAGCTGCAGCTGTGGGACACCTCCGGTCAGGGACGCTTCTGCACGATCATCCGCTCCTATTCGCGCGGCGCCCAGGGTATTATCCTCGTCTACGACATCACCAACAAGTGGAGCTTCGACGGCATCGATCGGTGGCTCAAGGAGGTTGACGAGGTCTGTTGTGAATTATAGATTGCACTGGGAAAGCTAGCACATTGGTAGGATTTTTACTAGCACGTTTGCCCATATTTTTCTACCGACTGCAAATTGGTACTTAAAAATGTGTAGCTATTTTACATGATTTAGGGTACTATCAAGATCATTTCACACAAAATACGACATTATTATAGCGATTTTAAAACGTAGTTTACAAAAGATTCCAATGTGCTTTCCTTTCTCATTTTAGCATTTAAAATGTTCATTAATAACTCCATGTGTACGTTAACTTTACAGCATGCCCCTGGCATTCCGAAGGTTCTCGTCGGGAATCGCCTGCACTTGGCCTTCAAGCGACAGGTGGCGGCCAAACAGGCCGAGACCTACGCCAGCCGCAACAACATGTCCTGCTTCGAGATATCGCCTCTCTGCGACTTCAACATTCGCGAGTCCTTTTGCGAACTGGCGAGAATGGCGCTGCATCGCAACGGCATGGAGCACATCTGGCGCAGCAATAAGGGTAGATATCACTAGGCGATTTAATGGGAGCTAAATTGTGCCTTTCGAGTTTAATGAACTAGGTTTTTTACCAAAGATCAATATCTAGTTGGCTTAGACCAGGTTACATGTAATTAATCTCATTTATTTATAGTTAAGTTGTGAAAAAGTCGAGAAAAAGCCTTGAGGTCATTTACGACTGAGTTCCAATTAAAGTGTTCATTATGTCATTCCAGTCATTAATCATTTTTCGACAGTTGGATTACACTTAATCGCTATATTGTGTGAACTTTTGTAAATTCCCATGCAACTAAAGCGGTGTATGTCAGACATTTTTTGTAGATTTATAATCTCCAGCAGACAGACATTTACATTGTTCCTCAGTTCACTTACTGACCTACTTTAAATCCCATTGCAGTGCTGTCACTCCAGGAATTGTGCTGCAGGACGATCGTGCGAAGGACGAGCGTGTACGCGATCGATTCGCTGCCGCTGCCGCCGTCGGTGAAGTCGACGCTCAAGTCATACGCGCTGACCACGTCGCAGTGCTTCAACTCGCTGACCCAGAGCTCCAAGAGCAAGAACCGCTGCAAGACGCCGACGAGCAGCAGTCGGAATAGCTGTGCGATCGCGTGATCGTTGCCTTGTAGGCCGCCGCCCAGCCGCCTACGCCGCCACGCCCCTAACCGACATTAACTTTAATTCAGCTCTACTTATGTACTCTAGGCTAACACACATACACGAACACCACACACCACACCACCCACACACCACACACCCACTCACCCCAGCCCTTTGGTTATTTTTTGTTTCCTTGACTTTGATATTTGTGGTCAACAATATTTACTTTTTACACAGTAAAGCTTGCACCTTTTTAATTTTTAACCACCACCATCCCAGACCCATTTCCCCAACTCCTCTCTTTTGCATTAATCTAATGTTGTTAATATTATTATGTTTGTATAATTCTAATATTTAATACATCAAACACATCAACATATAAGGAAAAAAAGAAAAACAAAATCGAAGAAATAACATCAAGTGAAAATCAATTTTTATATGGAAAAAAAGTAATTTTTTTTTTGTTTGTTTACCATCGGATTAAAATATTCTTAGAGATGTATTGTAATTGAAGCGAATTCAACAAGAGAAGCACACACAAAGGCGAATTGATAAAAATAATTCATAATGAAATAGAAAACTGTGTTTTCATTTATTTTCCATCTCTTTCTGATTCCTGGCCAGGTGACTCCATCTCTTTCCATTTAGGTTTCTAATTTTCGGTAATTTAAAGTGAAAGTTTGCTGCATCTTTAATAGGATAAGTCTATGTCATTATGCAAAGTTAAGTTAAAGTTAAAGTTTCTTTTGAAAAACTGCGCTTCTACCTCCATTCGTTATTTTTCTATAGGTTAATTCAAGTATGCTTTTGAGTAAATCCGAAGTAAAGTCGAAAAAAGCTACCAAAATATCTAGATCATTTCTATGCAAGTTGTAGAAAATATTTGATGTTCTCAGTACTGTGTTTACTAAAGTTAGAAAATATTTTTACAATTATTTAATATATAATATTTTCTTTAGTCAACCGCAACTGGAACTAAAGATATATATTTGCATACCCTGCAGTTGATGGGGGATATACGGATATTGCTTATTAATTATACATTTTCCATATGAACATAGTATAATTTTAGCATTGCCTGAAATATTTGTATACTTGCCATTGAATGATTATTGATATCACGTTGATAGGTTCTGCATAACGCATGAATTCGACTTCTATCTTTGAAATATACTTCTGCATCTGTGCATTATTTTTATTTAATTTCACATGATCATAATTTCGCCATTTGAGCTTGAAGAGCATTTGGTTTGTCGGTGCTTGGATTCTGCTCTTCCTCAGTCGATTTGTTGGGTTTCCAACATCTGCTAGGGGTTATCCCTTGTCGGATGTGATTAATCGGTTGGCTGCAAGCCCAATTTGATATTGTAATATTATTTAAATGACTCAAATTGCCTTTTCGTCGGTTTGCTTCGCACTGGATTCATTCGCCCTTTGAGGCAAACCATTTCGCGGCTTCTTTTTCGACATCTATTGCTTCCCCAAAATTTCGGTTGTTTGGCGTTTTGCTTTTACCCAATTCCCCGAGTTGGGCAATCAAAAAGGGGGCGGGGCTCTCGGGGGCAGTGGACTTGTTATAGTTTAAATGTATCTCCGAATTTCGAATGGAAAATCTGGGGGATTTAATGCGAAGTGATAGCGAAATGATTGCAATAATTTGCATACGCTTTAACTCACTTTATAATAGGTTTGTCTTTTTTTATTGTTTTTGTGTTGTAGTTTTGGCACGTTATAAAATCTTTTAGTGCAAATGGGGCAATTTAAATAAAATTCTTGTTGAGAAATTGATTACCCTACACTGAAAGAGATATATATTTTTATGTTTATTCGTATAGAAAGTGCTACTAGATTAATCTCCAGCTGTAAGTAATTAAATAACTACTCTATTATTTTGTCATAATTATATAAGTAAGTAATATAGTGAGGTTTTTAAAGTGAGTAGTAAAATTGACTTAAATAAGGCCTGAAGAATGTGTAACTTACTGTCGGAACTCATAGTTATTGCCGCTTTTAATATTTGCTTAGGAAAGATATTTTCTTGTAGCCCTTCTTGTAATTCCCAACTGGTTCTAGTCAGGACAGTAAGGCATGTCTTCTAATTCAGAGTCGCGAAGTAGTTCAAGTGATCTCTCTTGCCGGTGGAGCAGTGAGTGTAGTGTACGTGTAGTGTATGTATGTATTATACGTATGTACGTATGTACATATGTATGTATGTACGTACGTATGTATATATGTATGTATGTATGTATGTATGTATGTATGTATGTATGTATGTATGTATGTATGTATGTATGTATGTATGTATGTATGTATATATGTATGTATGTATGTATGTATGTATGTATGTATGTATGTATGTATGTATGTATGTATGTATGTATGTATGTATGTATGTATGTATGTATGTATGTATGTATGCATGCATGCATGCCGTGTATGTATGTATGCAGTGTATGTGTTACTTGCACAAGGCCTAAATGTAAAAGTCCATATTTTTATTTCTACTACTTATTGTAACTACCTGTTATATGAGAACTTCCCCTTATATAATGATTTTCCGTTTTTTTTTTTTTTCGAAACTGCATTTCCCATATGGGCCTGCATTGGGAAAGTGCTAATCCGACCTGAACTGACCTAGCCCATCGATCAGGTGACCTACGGGAGGCGGGGTCACCATCATTAAGCGGTTCGTTCATGCCCGACGGATTAATTTCGGCGGCTGGTCCCAATTATGGAACTGCTATTTTTCCCATTTCTTTCCACCGCACTCATTTGCATTTGCCAGCCGCTGATGCGTTTGTTGTTGGACCAACTGGAGTCCAGATGGACGGAGATGGGTTTCGGGTTGATGGCCAAAAGAGTGGTGGGCAGCAAGATGACGAAAGCAAGTTCGCAGACAGACGGAGCATCTCGCAATCCGGCTGCTATATAAACCGTGGACCGCTCGGATTGGAGCATCAGTTGGCTTCCTCTACTGCTACGTGAAGTTCCACAGTTTTCGACCCCAAGCAAGAAACTTCCAGCAATGAAGGTGAGTCTTCTCGCACTAAGCCCCATTATACTCATTAAAAAGTACTTAAAATCGGTTTCAACATATCGTCCAATTACACTACAAAATGTAGGCAAACAAAAATAACCATCATCATGTAAACACGCAGCTGAAAGATATTTCGTATATCATTTCTTTATATAATTAAATAAAATATATATATTATTTCTTTATATAATTAAATTAAAATTATATAATTAAATGAAATAATATAATATATTTATTCCAACATTAAATTTAAGATATACATATATTATGACTATATAAAGCTATTTCGTGTACCGTACAGAAATAGTTAAAACCATTTGATTTTTGAATATAAGATTTTATAATATTTTACTAAATCCTTGCTCCTATTCACAGATCTTTGTGTGTCTCCTGGCTACCTTGGCTGCCACCGCATCGGCTGGCTTCATTGGCGGATCCGGCGGTGGTGGTGGTGGCGGTGGCGGTGGCTACAGCTATGGAATCGGTTCTGGCGGCGGCGGCGGTGGCCACCAGGAGGTGAAGACCATCCAGGTGATCCACCAGGACGGTGGCGGCTACTCCGGCGGCGGTTACGGCGGCTACTCCGGTGGCCATGGAGGCTACGGCGGCGGCGGCCACCAGGAGGTCAAGACTATCAAGGTTATTCAGCAGGAAGCTGGCGGCTATTCCGGCGGTCATGGCTTCTCTGGTGGTCACGGTGGCTACTCGGGCGGTGGACACCAGGAGGTGAAGACCGTTAAGGTCATCCATGAGGAAGGACATGCCCTGGGCGGCGGTGGTTATACCGGTGGTCTTTCCGGCTATGGACACGGACATGGTGGCCATCAGGAGGTGAAGGTGGTCAAGGTCATCCATGAGGAGGGCGGTCATGCCCACGGACACGGCGGTGGCTACTCCCATGGCGGATTCGCCGGCGGTCATCAGGAGGTTAAGACTGTGAAGGTCATCCATGAGGAAGGACTTGCTTTGGGCGGCGGCGGCGGCTATGCCGGTGGCTTCTCCGGCGGCTACTCCGGCGGCTACTCCGGCGGCTACTCCGGTCATGGACATGGTCATGGTGGCCATGGGGAAGTAAAGGTGGTCAAGGTGATCCACGAGGAGGGCGGTCACGATCACGGTCACTCGCACGGCGGATTCGAGGAGGTCAAGACCATCAAGGTCATTCACGAGGAGGGAGGACACGCCCACGGCCATGTGCCCGCCCCCATCATCAGCAACGAATACCTGCCGCCCAGCAATGAGTACCTGCCCCCCGTATCCGCTCCACAGCCCGGATATCTGCCCCCATCCTCCAGCTGGAAGTGATTCCATGCCATTCGATTCGAGCCATACTGATCCTTGAGTCTTGTTAAGTAATTTTAGGTCCCCTTTTTTTCATTCCCATGTTTTTTTATTGTTGTTCCCATTTTACCTCGCCCATTGAACAAATATACCATCTGTAAATTATAAGCCATTTGGATTTTCTGTGATATATGGGCAGCAAAAAGTTTGGAAAGTTTTTGTTTTGCTGCCCAAGTAATGTTTAAAGAAATAGCAGGAAAGTTCTGATTGATGGCGAATTAAAGTAGCATTGGTCCATGTCAATTTAAACCGATATTCCAGAAAATTATGAAATTTCCCAAGGCTGAAGTTTTAAACTCCATAACTCAACTTATGTTGATCGCCCACACTTTTAAAAAATGTTAAAGTTTTTTTCTCCAATTTCTAACAATATTCCAGAAAATGTTAAAATTTCTTGTTTGGGTATCTGATAGTCGGGGAACTCGACTATAGCATTCTATCTTTTTTTCATTTGGTTCCATTCATGCGGCTCCGTCACTTTCGATTCGCGTTTCAATTTTACTCTCAACGCGATTCGATCGACCCATATTAACATAATCACAGTCATCCAATTTAGCGGTAGCTCAACGACCTTTTCATCGGCGGGTTATGTTCATTATAGATATACGTCGCCTCTAATGGAATTATTTTGTGTATCTTAACGTTTATTTGTATGTTTAGAAATGTATTTTGTGTCTGGTGGATTATGTTGTAGCGTGTTTTTGTGTCCAATGGATTTTCATGTATCTGTGTAGTACACTTTGTATCTTATGGATTATTTTGAACGATGGGGCTTAAGTTTTATTTAATGAAACATGGACTTGATATTATTAAACTTCATTTTTCTATTTTCAATGGTTATTACCTTGAAGATTTTTAGAACTATATTTCCATATATATTTTATACTTTGTTATATGTATAATTTTATGAAATATTTTGGGAGCCTTACTATTTTCCAAAATTTCAAATGAATATCATTGAGATTACGCTTAACATCAAGTCCATAAATGTGATGGTGCTCTGGGTGCTGTGTTGTTTAAAAATAAACAATTTAATGCGTTATGCTAAGTATAAAATAAATCTTTTAAATAAATCATATTATTTATGTGGCCACATGTCCTGCCGCCTGCTCTTCGCCGTCTTTTGATCGATGCGATTATTGCTTTGGCCAAGATACTGATGCAGGGGCAGTGGGCGTGGCGACGAGGAGGTCACGCCCAGTGGAAACTCGCTGGTGGGCCTCCACTTCGAGGGCATCCACGGTGAATCGTAGCTCTGGTATCTGCTTTGGTATTTCTCCTCTTGATAATTTGCCGGTGCCAACGGCTTCTGATCGTTGTGAACCTTGAGATTCAGCAGCAGCTCACCATCGTCATCGATCAAGTTGTACAGCTGAACTCCTTTGGCCTCCCTCAAAGGAGGCACTCTCTCCAAGCGGATTTGTTGCTTGACCTTTGGCCTGACGATGGGCTTTGGCCTCTGGCCAATATATCGCGATGCTCGATCGTGGGTCTGCAACTGGCGCAGGATATTCAGTGGCAGCAGTAAATCCGACTCGAAGGGCATAAAGCCGCTGGCTCGCACTTTAATGATATTTCTCACTAGCGGCTGAGGGCCATAGCTCTCGACCAGGCCCAAAAGGCTCAAAATGAATAGGCCCAAAGTGTGCATTTTGCGGCAGTTGTTATCTCATTTTACGCGAGGATCACTGGCGGCAATGGCACTCGAATAAAAAATAAATAAGGTATTTTATTTGGTCGAGAGTGGAGCGAAAGAGCAGCGCGTTCTAGGCCCGTGTTGCACCAACTGAACGGACTAAAAAATAAACACGGCTCAAATCAAGCTGAGGCCAGCTGACTGCGGTCGTAAAAACGAATTAATTAGAGAAAATACCGTACGGTGCACGAACGCACAGTGGGTTCGGATATGTGCATTTGTGACTACAAAATGAGTATATAAGGAACAGCTTTTCATGTGTGATATTGATTAGCAGTCGCGTTGGGCATCAGACATGGGTAACTAAATTAATCAGAAATTCATAGCTTGGCCCCACTGTGCGTGATATGTTCAACACTTTGAATTGAAAATAAAAACATAACTGGCCGCGACTGGACGTTTATTGTTTGTGGGCCTGTTCAAGTGGCTCTTTCTTCCATTATTCCCTCTATTTTGTTATGGGCAACACAAAATTTATTAACAACACCAACTGAGTCGGCCGTGTGTGAGTGTGATTTATGCCAGTGTAGAGAAGAATAATTCTTTGAATGCCTTCGTGCGGATTGACATTAAAACTGGCTCACTAGCCGGCAGTTGAGCCATTACAATGGCCATTAAAACATAACCTGTTCACTCTCGCTGCCACTGGTGACCCAAACAAAAATGCAGATACTGCCATAAGCACACACACACATCTCTGACCCATTAGCATCAAGACAAAAGACACCCGCATTGAAAAAAAATAAATGGAAAAAAAACAAAGGCAGTAAACTCTCTATGCAGATTAGCAAGGTGGAAAAGCGTGGCTCAGAATTTTCACTCCAGCCTGGTTTTGCAGTTGACAAACGCTCCGCTGATCACTCTCACTGTTCCACATTTGCATATGGACAGTGCGGTACAGTGCGTGACATAACGAGAGAACTCAGCTGCAGCATTATAACGAAATATTGGGCTCATAATCGGCTTTAAAATTGCCTTTAAGTGAATCTACTTTTTTATATGGCATTAATTTAAAATGTAAATTTATAAACTTCGTCGAAAGTGCTACTTCTTCGAAACGCACTGTATTAATTGATAAGCACCGGAAAGCGCTGGTAACGGTAGCCTAATCACAATCCCATTTGATTGACATTGTTTTTATTCAACATCGATGTCCACATTAAGCCGCATTATGTTTATATTTTTACTCATTTATTTCTCATAGACGTAGACCTTTGCTTAATCACTACAATTTAGAACAAATAATTTGCAAAAAAAAAGATTTATATGCATACATATATATATATATATAGGTAAATGTGAGGAGGGATATCTGTACAATTAGACTTAGACATAAACGTATAGCTAACTGACTAGAATTACAATCCAAATTTTCAATGTGCTCAAAAGCTTAACTACAAGGTATTACAATTTCGAATTCACTTCAATTCTTCACTTCTTTGGTTGTTAATCTCTTGTTTCTTGGCCATAATAAATATTTACATATACAAATACTGTTGCTCTAAATAATTAATTAGGATATTAATTAGGCTCTAGTCCAGGGTGATGTGAGGATTTGTGTAGGTGAAGCCGTGGAACTGCTTCTGATCCATTGAAGCCAATATCTCCTTATCGATGGGGGTTAGGCGCACCCTTTCCCTGGTGAAGACCCGATCGAAGTACTGGGTATCCAGGGGGTGTTTCTTTCGGGGGAATGAAACAAGCAAAATAAATTAATAAAATGATTAATTAAGCATTAACTCCATTGACTACTCACCACTTGGGGCTTGAAGGGCGGCTCGATTTGCCGCTTTTCCAGCAAAGCCCAGTCGATCGGGCGGAAGAATATATGATCGGCTATATCACCAGCTGGGCTGTACTGCGAACCAATACGCTTTGTGTAGTCCTTCTCCAGCAACTGAATGGTATTGGAATGAAGTGTTGTGGTTCAAAATTGATTTGTTTAGCTCACCCCCTTGAGAATCCCGGTGGCCTCGGCGGATATGTAAACTGGAAACCATGGAATTTCATTGCAGATGGACCAGAAGAGCTCATCTTCATCGCAGCCACTGAATGGCGACTGACCAATCAGCATTTCGTACAGCAGCACACCAAAGGACCACCAATCCACATTCTGATTGTACTTTTCACCCTGCAATTTAAAGGTAAGTGTTAAACAATACTACTTTAGGATCATTTGAGTCGATTAAAGTATCTACGGTAGTTAATATTCATTTTCCAATGTGCAGTACATTAGAACTACTACGTGTTGGTAGCATAGAAGTACCTTAATGATTTCGGGCGCCATATAATCGGGTGTGCCGCAAAAGCTATCTGCCGTCTTGTCCAAATAGATTTGCAATTTGCACATGCCAAAGTCGGCAATTCGAACATGTCCCTCGTAGTCCAGCAGGACATTATCCAGTTTGAGATCCCTGAAAAGGGCAAACAAATGTATAAAGTATAAAATATAGTTAGTTTAAAGTAATACGAACAAGCTCACCTATAGATAATGCCCTTTTTGTGCAGGAATTTGAGGCCCGAGATGATTTCCGCGCCATAGAATCTGGCCCGCTCCTCGGAAAAGCGCCCGCTCTCCTGGATGTGGAACATGAGATCGCCGCCATTCAGGTACTCCATCACAAAGAACAAGTGGCTCTGCGTTAGGATATAGAAAAAATATAGCGAGCGATTTTACACACTATACTACATACTATACTTCGAGAACAGGCGAGAACCAATAATATAGCGAGAGATTGAGATTGAGATACAGATTCAGATTGAGATTGAGAGATCGTCCCCCAAAGTCATAAATAATTAAAATACCTTCTAATCGGTGTCAATGCAAGACGTTGCAGTTGCAGATGCAGATGCAGATTTTCGGATTGCGAGAAACACACAAAAAAAAAACCAGACCAAACAAAACAAATACAATAAAATAAAAGCGTACGGACAGGCACCCTGATCTACATGATGTCCGATCGACGTCGTGTGCCCCAATCGATGGCCAGACCCCAGTGGTCCAATAATAGAACGTTTTACCTTTCCTCTGGCTATAAATAGCCGGCCGACCGATTGTTCTATATGATAAATATCGATCAAGAGTGCAGACACACCTTCGACTGGTGACCCCCACCTGAGCACTGCCTCTAATTGAAAGCAAAAAAGCAAAAGGATGCAAGGTGCGCATGAAACACCTTCGTCTGAATATTTTCAGCTGGATAATATCAGCCCAAATGCCACATTTCGACTTTAACTGATGGAGATAGTTTTCCATAGCATTTTACAACATATTTGTAACTAAAACTAGAATTTTATCCAAGGGTCATTGACCTACGGTTTTTCTAATAGTTGCTTAACTTAACTCTCAGGTTTTAAGCTTCAGTCGTATGTTTAAGGTCTATATTCCTCATTATACCTTTATTTTATTTGTATTTGTTCTGTATTATCTTCAACTCACCTCCGTTTGGAAGGTGCAAAACAGATGGCACAGGTAGGGATGTTTGGTACCCAGGGCCAGGACCTTGCGTTCGATGAGCGTGGAGTCCACGTCGTCGTCCTCCAGGACGACGTCCTTTTTCAGGCACTTGATGGCATAGTAGTATGTGGTGTCACGCAGCTCAGCCAGCAGAACCTATTTCAACCGAAAATTCGAAATTAAACGATAAAATGCAGGAAAATCCCTCGTAATACTCACCTTGCCGAAACTTCCCTTGCCGAGAACGGCCAGAAAGTGGAAATCATCTACCGAATAATTCTTAAATCTAGGTATTACTGTTGCTGGCGCAGTGAAACGTCCGGATTTTTGGAATTGTGAATATGTATATGATGTTTCTGTGCGATCGAGACAGCAAGATTTGTATAGTTGCAGAGAGAGAGAGGAATAAAAGTTAAAGTTAGTTAAAATCTTAAAAGTATTAAATATTACAAAGAGCACAAGTAGATAATGTTCGTTCATGAGTTATACCGATGGTCACTTGAATTGGGTCTACTTAGTTGGGACTTATATCATATTTAATCGGCATACCATCGTGTTCCTCGCTGGCCTCGATTTTATAGGCTGGATTCAGACTGGGCGGAGTGCTGGGTGAGTCACGGGCTTCTCGGGCTCCTAATTATTCGAGAATATTAGATCTCTAGATCTCTATTGAGGTCTTTATTTCTGGGCCTGATTTTGCTAACAGATTTACATCTAAAATAGGTGTATTTTGCTTGATTAACTTGGAATACGCGCAATGGAATCACTGCACTATTTATACACTCTTTAAATTTAGTTTTTATATGCACTGTGAATTTGTATATATTTATTTTTGTTCAAGACTTGAACTTATGCATATGTTTTTTTATTTCAAGACTTGAATTTATGCATATGTTTTTTTTATTTCAAGACTTGAATTTATGCATAGGTTTTTTTATTTCAAGACTTTTTTTTTGAAGTGTTTCAAAGACTGTTCTTATAAGAAATGCATATGCAGCAGACATCCCCAGAATAATTATTTCCCAGCTTCCAGGCGCTCTATAAACACACCATAAATTCTGTTCTGAGCAAAATCGGACCCATAAATTCGAGGCACAAAATATGAATATGGCTTGGCCTCCATATTTCCCATTCCGACTGTGATTTGTGCATTTTGTCTGGTTTTTACCTCGCTTCACGTGGTTGAGTGCCTCAACGATGAGTTTCTGATTGACACCGCATAAATTGGCCGTGAGCCGCTCGCATTTCTTGTGACAATTCACGTCACATTCTGGTTCGCGTGTTTCGATTCGATTTTTAAATTTCGACGTGGACGTGGACGTGGATGTGGATGGGGCCCACGCAGAACATCGCATTGGAGGGGAATTAATTGCAAACAAATTATTAATACATTTTCGTTGCGGCGAACTGGGCGGGTTACCCAATCTACTGTTGCGATTTATTGGCTGCACGCTTTTTGGACTCGAGCAAAATGTTTTCAAATAGAAAATGTACTGGCCTAGACGATAATAGTCCAAGTTGGCCATGTGCATGCCCAAAAATAAGTTAAGAATGCCTAAATTGTCTTCATTCAATAAGTGCATGTACAAAACATGTATTTTATAATTATTATAATAAGGAATAGCAATTTAGTTAGCTAAAACACATTGTGATAACTAGCAAACCCATATTAAATGATTTAATTAAATGATTTCTTCAGATTTAAAAATGCTAGAAACCAGAATATGTGAAAGTATAACTATCTGATGGTTGGTTTCCAACTTATCGAAGGCCACAGATATTTCGAACATGAGTTATGGAATTACTAACAACAGTGCTCCCAGTTTCAAGCAAATTTTCCCATAAACATATGGGATTATTGTTCCCAGTGCATTCCAATCGGTTTAAAGACATGAATTTCCGATGATTATTTTGGGTGGGAGGTTCTGCTCGCATAAGCAATGCGAATCCGCAATTGTTTCCGCCCGCTTTGATTGAATTTCCAACAAATTGAGGCGTACAGCCGGATATCACGTATACGCAGTGTGGCAACGGAACAAAACACAAATGATTTTTCGCGCTCTGCCAGCGAATTTATATAATCCGTGAATTGACTGTTTGGCCCATAACTGCGTTGTTTTGTTTCGCATGGTTAGAACAACTGCAGGAGATGTCTAAATCCACATACACGTAGTATCTGTGCAGATATATCTGAATTTATGTACACAAAAGCTTTCTCTTTGACGCTCAGACAGACACGACGATGACCTAAACAATTTGTTTTCATTTGTTGTTTTGGCTAAAAGTAAAATGCCAACTTGTAGATTCCTTCTCTTTTCTGCTTTCTGATTTCTGCTTTCTGCGGCTTCTGCCAGCGGATCTCTAGCAAATTCTCGCACAAACATCAAGGAAACGCCACCACGGAACAGTAAGCAACGATAAAATTCTCGGCGAAAAATTACATAAAACACGAATCGAGCGATAGAAATAGGAAGTCGATTCCCCAAATTCACTATCGCACAACATGAGTAACAATGCTAATAAATAAAGCCGTAAACAAAATAGGGGCATTAAAATCCGCTCTTTTGAAAGTGTTTCTTTTTTGCAGCAATAAAACCACAGGCACACTGAAGGAAGAAATCGGTACAGAATATTCTCAACTTATGAGTTTGCAAAAAGATATGAGCACTCAGCACACAAATAAAAATCCACGCACTAAAACTATATTTTACAACAAATTAGGAACTTAATACAGAGGCCATAACAAAAGGAAACAACTTCTTCAGAAGTTAAATCACAGTGAATACTAAGAAAAGGCTGAACTACCATACTATGCATAGTAATTTAAACAGAAAACAGAAGAAAAGAGGTTCGGGTTTGGAGAAAATCTGTAGTAATAATAAAAACATAAACATAAATAATGAGGCAGTTTATTACTTGAAGTAATCCCATGTTCCGCACATTCTTTCGTTAAAAAATGCCATAAAAGACGTATCTATAAGCTCTGGTAACCCAGAAAAAAGTGTCCCAGAAAAGAGGAAAAATGCCGCATATTCACCATCGCCCGATAACTTACAATTTTTTCTCCAGCTGCAGGTCGTTGAACCCGTCGCATTTTCCGCAGAATATACTTTTGAGAACTGGCACTTGCTAGTTAACACTTTGGGATCAGATGCACTACTATGCCGTCGACTAGACGGGAATACATATTTATATAGATGGGGCATCTTTTCCCCGGATGATATACTAGCTGTGGATCGTTATGACTTTGTTTATTTCTTTGTTTCTCTACTTTGCCCAGAAATCCTCATATATCTTATATCTATAGGTCGCTGTTTTGTGGTTCTTGTTCTTGTTGTGAGAACGAAGGCATTCCGAAATGCCTGGGATAGTCGAAAGTAAGTCGAAAGCTCTTTTGATCCGGACACGTGCCGCGCATTCAAGTGACCAGCGGGGAAATGGGGGACGGGGTGAGAATTGATGTACACTGGCAAAAAACTGCGAGCTAGCTATGCTCAACTACATTTTTGATCAATTAATAAATTAAACATATTTAAGTGAAAGACATTTTTTAGCACTTCACTATAGATGGTCATCATAAAAATTTTTTGTACGTACTGTTGTGGAATATTAATTAATTTAAAATTATAATTGGAAAAGCAAGCTAATGCAAAAATATTTGATAATGGCAACTAGTCTTATTGGTATTAAAATGTTTATAATTGATAACACAGCGCGCTCGTAGTTTTTCCCAGTGTATTGACTGATTTGCCCGCTGTCTTTTCAAGATGAATTTTGCAGGGTATCGATAGAGTCGGCCAACGCCAGCCTTACCTAGCATCTTCTTGGGACTGGAGGGCGCGGTGCCGCCTTCGAATCCGGAATCGTTGCTGCAGGTGCTCATCCGGATGATGGACGGCGAGCTGGATGTGGAGGCCCCACCACCACCACCACCACCACTGGGAACACTGAGTGTTCCGGCATTCGAGCCGCTGGAACTGGGCGAATCCAGCACCGTTGCGGCACTGGAGCTACCACCCTTGGTGACCATGGCCACCGCATCGAGATCCTCGGAACTGGCGCTGCTGCTGGTGGAGCTGCACTCCTCGCCGCCGCTCTCATCATCGCTGTCCTCGTCCAAGGAGCCGCCGCTGCCCTCCTCGCTGCCGCTCTCATCGTCCGTATTCTCATCCGAGTAGACGATCTTCTCGCGCTTCCACAGCGGACGCGGCGTGGCCACCAGTGGGTACCTGGGCGCCTCCTCCTTCACATAACACTTGTTCGTCGTATCGATCTTGATCTTCTTGTGCGGATCAAAGCGTTTCGCCTCGCCGCCGGCTGCTTTCGCCTTTTGCTTCTTTTTCTCCTTGCGCAGTTTCTTTTTCATGCTGGCGCTTAAGTTCGCACAACCGTCAACACTGGAATAATCGTCAGAACTGCTGCCGCTCCCGTCGTCGTCGTCGTCGTCGCTGCTGTCGTCTTCTTGGCTATTTTCCGCCGACGAGGGTATATAGTCGTCTAGCTCGGCATCAACGTCTCGCAGACACTGTGCCAAATTCGATACTGTTGCAAACTTTGATAAATTATTGCCGCCGCCTTCGCCGCAGCTGTTGCTGCTGCTGAGCGAGGTAGTCGCATCAGCAGAGGCAGCAGCAGCAGCAGCATCAGCAGCAGCAGCAGCAACAGCAGCAACATTAACAGCAGCAACACCAGTTGTTATTGTTGTGGGCGTTGTGGTTGCATCGCCAGTTGCCGCCGGCGATGACGCATTTGTGGCCTGTTGCTGCTGCTGCTGCTGCTGCTGCTCATGTTGCTGTTGCAATTGCAGTGCTTGCTGCTTGTTCGGTGATGTTTTGGCCGCCTTTGTGGGGGCCAGCGTTATAAATTGATCGGCATTGATTGGGGTCACATTGCTCTCAGACAAAGCCGTAACAGCTTCTGTTGCTGCTGCGGCTGCTGCTGCTGCTGCTGCTGCTGCTGGCGCTGCAGCTTTCTTTTTGCCAACATTTGTTTTGCCGGCACTTTTTGGCTTTGTCGTATTCGGTGATTGCACCTTTGACTTGCCCGTTGGCTCAGCGGCTTCCGTCAATTTCGTTTTGGTTTCCGTTTGTGGCACCAATGTTGCTGCCGTGTCTATCAGTTGTTGCTGCTGCTGTTGCTGCTGCTGCGGCTGTTGCTGTTGCTGCTGCTGTTGTTCCTTGTCCGTTGTTTTATTTATTTTTATTTCGACTGCGGCTGCGGCTGCCGTTGCCTGTTGTTGTTCAGGTGACTTGGCCGGCTGCCCGCTATTTATTTTTGGCCCTGCTGTTTCGTTCAATTTTGATTTGCCTGTTGCTGTTGTTGGTGTGGTTGGTGTTGTTGGTGTCGTTGGTGTTGCTGTTGTCATGGCTACGGCGTTGCCAGACTGCTTCAGCCCCTTGGGTGATATTGTTTTTCCTGCCCCGGCAACAGTTGTTCCTGCCGCCGTTGTCATGCTGATCTTGGCCATTGTTGTCTTTGGTGCTGCCGGTGTTGACTTGGGCTCATCTGCTGCTGGTTTGGCTTGTGGTGTTTTCTGTGGTGTGGTTGGTGTGTCCACCTTTGTTAGTGGGGATGTTGTTGATGCAGCTGCTTTAGCTTGTGGTGTTGTTGGCGCTACAATCTTGCTTGTTGGTGAACCCTTTGTTGGTGTTTCTACTTTAGCTTGTGGTGTTGTGGCTGCTGTTGCTTTCGTTGGTGTTGGTGCATCTTTTGTTGGTTGTTGTGGTTTCAATTGCAGTGCTGTTGGTGTATCAGGCTTTATTTGTGGTGTAGCTGCTTTTCTTGTTGGTGTTTCCAGCTTCAGTGGCTGCGCTGCGTCTTCAGTTTTTTGTGATATTTCTACTTTAGCTTGCGGCGTTTTTGGTGAGTCCATCGTCGGTGTTGCAGTTGTCGATTTGCTTGTTATTGTTGGCTTAGCGTCTTCTGCCGTTTTTAATTTTGGTAAGTCTGTTTTGGGCATTGTCGGCTTGGCCTTATTGCTATCAGTTGCGCACTTTAATTTCGGTGATTCAGCAGTTGTTGAAGCGTCAATTGATTTAGCCTTTGGTATTGCAGTTGTTGGTGCTTTGCTTGAAGTATCGCTTGTTTCTACTTTCTTAGCCTCGACAGCCGATTTGCCACTTGTGGACACTATGGAGGGTGTGGTCTTCAGCTCGATGAGAATTTCCGATTTGAGTTTGGGAGTTGTTGGTGTCTTTAAATCTGTCTTTGCTTCCTTTGGCCTTGCTGGTGACTTAGGCGATTCCTCCTCCAGGAGCTGCTCCTGCTGCTCTTGTCGCATGTTAAAGACCTTTTTGCGGTTGGTCATGTATAGCGTTTCCCTCGAACCGATTTGCGACCAAAAGTCCTCGCCGCTCTCCGATTTCTGTATGGCCTTCCGAATGGGCTTGGGCGTGGCCACGCCCTCGACCTTGGCCTCGGTTTTAGGTAGCTCCAGTGGTTGCTGTTGCTGTTGTTGCGTTTGTTGCTGCTGTTGTATGGCTGCCTCATCAAAGGTGAAAATCTGCGCCTCACTCACATGCTGCTGTTTGTTTGCCTTCTTTAGTGGCGACGTCTTCGTTGTTTTGGGAGCAGCTTTCATGAAGCCTTCTGGCAAAGAGGAGTCCTCCTGATCCTTGGGCATTGCCTTTTTCTTGGGCAACTTGAAGACCTTGTGTATCTGATGGTGCTCCTCCACAGTCTCCACATTAACGGTGAACTTAGGTTTCGGACTGGGAGTTGGAGTGGAACTCGAACCGGAACCGGAAGCCAACGGTTGTATTAAGAGGGATTCCTCATTCAACTCCAAAACACTGGGCATGTGCTCCACTGGCTGGGCTTGGGGAGCATTCTCCACCTCCACAATGGCGGTGATCTTATGGCGCATCTTCTTACTCTTCTTGGAGCGTCTTTTGGATCTCTCCTTGGGATCTTCATCGTTTGTGGTGGTACTATCGTGACTGGATCTGCGTTCAAGGTGGATCAACTGAAAGCTGCCGGAGTTCGATTTCTGCAGCTTATTCAGTATTTCCTGTTCTTGCTCCTGAATAATGGAGGCCCTGCGTCTGAGTTCTCCGGCATTCAGATCATCATCGATCTTATCGGATGAAATATCCTCGCAAATGTCATGAAATGTTGGACATTGAACCAAGCTCAAGCGGCGAATGGTCTCCTGCATTTCCTCCAGTTCCTGTTCCTGTTTATCAGAGTCCTCCTCCTTTTCGTCATCCATTTCCCTTTTGGCACTGACCTCCATTTCCGGAGTCGAAGTCTTATGAGCACATTGTGGTTGGCTAAGCTCCTGGATTTGGGCTCTATTGAAATTGGCTAGTTCCTCCTTCTCATCTTTTATATAGAATCTCTCGCGAAGCAATTCGCCGGGTGACTTTTTATTGCTGGTTACTGGAAAGGCTGCCAGTTCCTCGGCCAATTTTTGGCGCCAACTCAAACTGGGCTCGGCGGCAGGTGGCAGATCCCGGAATTGATGCTCCTGCACCTGCTCCTTCTTGGGACTCTCGGCACTGCGATCCTTGCTGCGTCTTCGTATGGTGGATAGTCGAACCACAGGACGATTTCTCCTAATGGTTGATCTACGATTGGGTCTGCTTTCGGCACCTGTATCTGGACTTTCCGATGGTGTTTCCTTGGGAGTAGGCTTAACCTGCTCCTCCGCCTGTTCCTTCTGCTCCTTCTGCTCCTTTTGCCTGACCTCCTCTTTGGGCTGCTCCTTTTCCTGCGACTTGGAAGGCACTGCCCTGCGATAGCGCGAGGAACTCACATCGATATCTGCCGTATTGATGGCAATGGGTCTGGCTGGTATGTATCTACTACTGGCAGCCGATGACCCATAACTCGGAGTGGCCACCGAACTGCTGTACTTGGGTGAGTTAATCCTGGTCAGTGGCATCAGGCTGCTATGGCCGCTGTGCCGTCCCGTCTCCGTAATCGTGGTCAGCTTTGGTTGATATCTGGAGCCCAGGCCATGGAGGGAGCTGCTGCCGCCGGAACTGGCACTGGAATAACTGCTCGGCGATCTCGGCGAGGAGGGACTTAGGGGTACCATATAGCTGGCCGGATACGAGCGATTGTAGCTGGACGTATAGCTCGATCCTGGTGAGGATCCGATGCCCAAGTTGATGCCCAAGCCGGAACTATAGTACGGTGAGTACAGCTGGCTGCTGCCGCCACTATAGTAGTAGTTGGTTGAATCCGAGTACAGAGGCATTTTGCAGCAGTCACTCAAACAAACAAACAAAACAAAACAAAAAAAAAAAAAGGAAATCACAATACACGAAGAAAACCTTCGGTTTGAATTTTTGGTTTGCTTATTTTCCGGCGCTTTTCCGCTGCTTTTAGCTTAATTGTTTCCTTCGGTTCGTTAGGCTCTCATATTTTAATCGTAATTACGCTGTATTCGAATGGACACATCAATATCTTTATCTAAATGGCACAGGCATCGCTACTATAGTTTCAAACTAATACAAGCCAATAAGACATCATTTATTACATTAATCATAGACACGCATTTTTTCCAAGTATTTATCTAAATGTATTGGAAAATGAAAGATTTGGCCTAGAGGAACTACTTGGAAACATGCTGTACTTCCTCATTCGGTCGTTTGTCTATAATTAACTAAATAAAACAATTCGATTGCCCATCTGTTCGTTTCCAATTCGATTTCCGGCTAAGCCAATTCGATGTCAATAACTCAATTAAATAGCCATTGCGGCCTTTAACAAGACTAATCCCACATCCAATTGGGCAAGATGATAAATTTAGATTGGGAACGGACAGAGATTCGCCCATAAATTCGGTGGCACTTCAGTTTATTCTTCACAGGTTAACGCTTGCTTGAAACACTCGCATGTATTTTTGGGGCTGTCGTTCATGTATTTGCATATGTATCTTGCCCTCCGACGCTGCCGCAGTTTAATTATACAATTTTTTGATTTTTTTGAGATTTCAAAACGGCTGTCATAACGTGCCAGAATTTGGCAATACCGAAGTCACATTAATTATAGCCTAATTGGCCCAAAAGGTTTCCTTCTGCCAGATCGAACAAAACGCTGCGATCGAAATGAAAGCCAGGCAGCCAACTTTCTTGACGATTTCCGTGTACATTTTCTAGGAAATTAAATACGGGCTGTATGCTGAAGTATTATAATACATGTCTTTAGGGAAACGAAAAGAATAGAATTGGAATATTTTCATTTAAATGAATAATTTCACCGATTTCTAAATGGAAATTTCTAAATGTCTGAGTCAGCCAAACTTCGGTAGAAAATCAAAATGGATATTAAAAAGATTGATGGTCAATTGTATTTATTTGAAAAATGAAAGCTAACCGATTTGTTTATCCGACTCAATAAACAAAGCGTTCCAGGGAAGTTTTATGCTAAAGTGCTAGACTTTTAAATACCGAAAAGAGCCATTCGAAATGGATTTGAAATCGAACTGTCATTGGCTGAAGGTCAGCTGGAATCGATGGCTTTTCAATTATTCCAATGGACTTTTTTCGCTCGATATATAATATGTTTATTATTGGCTTTCGCCTTTAGCCCACATGTGCCATATAGAAATAGATATATAATCCGATGTAGGAGATAAATTTTTTCGCATGACGTAAGCGCTCACGAGTCGTTGTCTGCGATTTTCCTCAGCTATTTTCCACGCATAAATTGCTGACAATTTTTTCGTTGTTGCTTCTATGTTGTACGGTAATATAATTATGATTTTTTTATTAGCCACTTTAAACACAAGGTGTGTGCATTTTTTATTTCGGTATATTCGAATGCTCTTTTGAGCAATAATTAGTTTTTTGTTATGGTTTTTACCGTCAGCGCGACACAGGAAAAAATTCAAAGGAGCTAACTCGACGTGGCGAACGCATTAACGGAAACTACTGAAATGTGAAAGGCAGCGCAGAATATTTTCAATTCCGATTCCTGAACTCACAAGCACACACGCACACACACACACACACATGTCGATGATTTTCACGGGAAAATTCGAAGTCCATCTGTGTGAGAGAGAGGCTAACTTGGCAGCAGTATCTCTGTATCTTGTATCTGTATCTTGTGTTCATCTGCATCTGTATCCGTGTTGAGGCACAGGCCCAGATCATCATCATTTTCCTCTTCTTTCAATTATCTCTACGTGTCTGCCAATTTCGAAATATGCCCCTCAGAATTTTCAACACAACCACACCAAATTTCTAGTGTGCCATAAATTTCACACGAAGGCGAGCGGTTTTTCGAATTTCGAAAAAGCATCAAAAACATTTTTGACGTCTTTCAAAATGCTGTTCCTCGTTTTGGCACATCGAAAGTAAAAGCGAAATCTGCGAAAGAGCGCAGGAGAACTCATATGGGAGATTCTTCGGAAGAATTGAAATTGAGCGAAAAAGAGAGTCCATAAAGTATGCGGAACAATTAACTAAAATAGATATACGAACATAAATCGCACTTGCTTATTACAGGCAAATGGGAACTGGCATTTCAGCATTTTTACGAGATGCACAGTGTCATGTGAACACTCAAAGATGCAAAGATACAAAGATACTTTTACATATTCGAGTACTTAAATCATAGTTAAGGGCATGGACTTTAAGCAGTAAACTTTAGGCAACATCGCAGAAGTAGAACGTGAAAAACTATTGTTCTAACGTGCAAATAAATAGAAGTAATATTAAAAACTAGGAAAAAACGATTTCGTGATAGAAATAGACATGGGCACAAAAAGAGAACAAGCCGTGTGGGATTGCTGTCATAGAATGTGTGACCAATTAATTGTCACTAAAATGTGTATAAGGCATAAATTAGGCGAATTAGGCAAGTGTAATCAAACATCAAAGTGTTCAAGTGTGAAATGGCAGTTTCGACAAATTGAGATGTGAAAAGAAATGTGGGGCATTTAGGGACTGAAAAGTCGGGAGGAGTCTGTGCGAGATCTAGAATACTATTTCAATGTAAAATTATCAAAATATGCAACAAATAACAACAGTTTTCAATACAAGCTGGGTTGAAAATACATTTAAGGGCATGAAATCAATAAAATAAGGAAACAATTAAGGTTTGTGGATGAATGCCCAAAAAACCTTCTTTTTATTGAAATTTGCAGCCCCTAATGACTTTGTATCTTATTTATTGAGTATCCGATGATGGCCAACATCGTTGTACACTTTCGGCGGCTAAGATCCTTTTGGGCAATCATCAATCTGCCTGTTGGTAGCACCTGCTATCGAGATGTTTGGCTAAATTTGTCCAACCACCGCAACCCCCGCAAATAGAAAGCGAGGAAATCGAAAACAAATGCCAGAAATGCCGCACGTAGGATGTATCTCACATGAGAAGTACTATCCGTAGCACTCGGAATCGTACATGCGATGCGATGCGATGCTAATGGTGACGCTTTTCGGTTCCGCAAAGTACATTTATAGATCCCCGAGCAAGAGGAAGAGGCGGTTGGAAAGCGCCAAACAACTAGAAATAGAACTGCAACATGCTCTTCTTTCTTATTTGTGCTTTTTGTTTTAATTTTCCTCTGACTTTTCTCTCAGCACTTAATCTTTGCGATTTATAGTGAAACGCGGGGAGATCGCCAGAGTATATATACATATATTTTTTTTTGTGCGATATTTTTGCACTGCATTCCTGTCCCGTCAGTTGCAAAAGTGCATATCCATGGGCGTACTCTATCACTTAAAAAAACATATTTGCTTTCACATCTAGTTAATGGGTTATTAAGTTTTTAATACCTCTTAAAACGAAACCACTTAGAACATTACTTTTAATTGTTTTTAAATGCTTCTGTTTGTATTTTGAAATTTGCGCTAAGCACGTTCTAAATGCTTAACTAAGTGCATTTCAAGTGCCTTTCAGCCATTTATTTAAAATATATGAGGCTTTAAAATTATTGTATGAAATGAACTAATGAAATCGAAAGGAAATGCTATGTACCATCGAAATATGTACTCTATGATATAGGCGTGTGATTAAAATATAATTTTGTGGCGAAAAATGATTTGCCATGGAAAGTAATAAGTATCCGGCCAGTCGAATATCGCAGAATATTTTCCCGTCTTGTTCGATACGCCATGTTTTCCCCTTTTTCGCATGTCTTGTGTTGGCAAAGTCGCAATAAATTGATTTCTAATGCAGTCTGGCTATCTGTCTAACCATCTATTATATATACCGATTTCAGCTTAATCTGGCTTTCGCATTATTTCCGCTTTGATCGCACACACATCGAGTGAAAGTATTTTTCCTTTGTTCGCCGAACAAAAAGAGCAAATGCATTGCACAATTTCATGCACCTGCATAATGAATGGCCCTCGTTTCGTTTTGCAAAATTACGACACGATTGGAGACACCATTGCATATATTCGAAGTGGGCTTGTTTTTCATTGCACTTGCAGCAGCAGAAATTTTATAAATGTACAATGCGTATTACTCATACGCAGTGTTGGCATAAAAAAACGGCTCGTAAAAGTTGAATGCAATGATTTCCTTTTCATTTTCGCACGCAAATATTCTGTTTGTGATAATTTCAAGAATTTTTCGGGAAACGTTAAATGGGTCGCCTTTATACATTATCATAGGAGAAGTTCTTCTTCCTTGGAAACTTCTATAACATTTTAACTTCAAAAGTTCAATGCCTATCTAACTATAGTATATTTTTTGAAGATAAATGTATGTAACTCACTTTTAAGCCTTAAGCCTTTTATGTAAGCTGTAATAAGTCAACTAAATGCTTGCACTAATGTAAATTGTAGATACAACATGGCACATAAATCCTTAGGCCTCAAGAATGTACCATTATATACCTTCCTGATACCCATTATTTTAGCCGACCGTTACATTTTGTGGTTGGGAATAAGCCCGAAATTCTGGGGTTGTTATGACCACTAAAGAATCGGCGAAGCTTTGCATAAAAGCTTCGCGGTTTACCTCTGGCACAGATGGTGCCACCTGCCAAAAGCTCGAGCCCATGTGGCCAATGAAAATCGCAACAGGATTGAGTTAACAACGTATTTTCTCCAAGAAAATAGCACATTCAAATGTGAACTTCATTTGCTATTAAGCATCCAAGACTTACCTTCGCACTTGAGGCCCTGAATGAAAAATCCACCCATCAAAGATCCGCAATGGTCACAAAAGGTCGGTGACATAAAAGTGTGTGGCTTAAACCGATGTGGCATATCGATCTTGAAGCGTTCGCGTAGTAACTAAACAGATACAAATTATTTAACGCAGTTTATAAATAAACAATATAAAATGCAACCTACAATTGTACTGGCTGAGGTGAAAACGGAACCGGAACATTTACCCAGGAGTTTATCATGGCACTTTTTGTGCACCACCGTTTGGCAGACTGAAAATGTTGGCAATGCATTAATGTTTCGAGTTTTTGAGGTCAATATACTTACTTATGCACTGGTAGCCCTGTTTGCCAAATCCCCAGAGAAACAAATTGCAGAAGGCACAAAAGGTGGGCTGGCGAAAGAATTTTGCCACAAAACGATGGCCATTGATGTCGTGGGTTCTGTGACAAATAAAGGAAAATTAATAATAATTAGGATACTATTGATATACATTTCAGATTCAATTGATTGGAAATTGATCAAGTAAACTGCCATCCAGTCAAACTGCATCGTTTTTGACCAAACTCACTTCTGATGCTTGATGGCCCCGCGACGATTGGTTATGCTCCTCGGTCGAGTCCTCCTGTCCACGTAGACGCCACTGCCGGTGGCGCCACCGCCATTGAGCCCACCACTGCCAGTGCCACCAGCACTGCTCTCCCGATCCCGATCCCGATGGTAGGCCTCCTCCTTGGAGTGCTGGCGTGGCAGCTCAAAGGAATGCTTTCCATAGTGATCCCTGTCCCGATACTGATCCCTTCGGGCGCCGGAGGCTCCGCTGGCGCCACTCAGGCCACTGCCTGCCCCACTACTGCTGGTGGAGCTCTGTTTGTAGCGTGTCTGGGAAAATAAATATTTAAATCATTAGTTATAATAATAGGTATCAAGCGAGGCATCACATAATAATAGCGCTGTAATAACCGCTACGAACGGCAAGCCTTACTGTTAGCTATTGCTCTATAGCATTTCAATTGCAGTTTATAATTATACAAAAAACATTGAATATATGAAAGTCCAGTGAACACTTTTCCTCCAGTTGCCAGAGTTGTGCCGTTTTATGGCCAAATGCCGAGCATGTATTTAATACCAAAGGCACTCCTGCTTTCAGGTCTATAGCGGAAAAACACTTGTCTATGTTTACACATAACTTTTATTCTACTTAACAATTTAAGTTAAACAAAAATGTAGCTAAACATTTTTGAATGGTCCTAATGTGTAAATAAATACACATTAATTGTTAAGTATCCAGTAATGACTGGTAAAGCAAGTTCAGTTCAGTTTTGTTTTTCTATCTTAAGGAATCTCAAGGAATGTGTTGTTGCTGGACATCAGAGAATAATTGCATTAGATTAAATCGTTTACAAGTGCATTGCCTAGCATTACTTAAGTGAAAAACACTTGTCTATGTTTACACATAACTTTTATTCTATTAAATTGTTAAACAAAAATGTAGCTAAACATTGTTGAATGGTCCTAATGTGTAAATAAATACACAAATTATCCAGTAATGACTGGTAAAGCAAGTTCAGTTCAGTTTTGTTTTCCTGTCTTAAGGAATTTCAAGGAATGTGTTGTGGCTGGACATCAGAAAATAATTGCATTAGATTAAATCGTTTACAAGTGCATTGCCTAGCATTACTTAAGTGCAATTCATGTTGATAGTCACCTCATGCCGGGATGATCCTCCCGAGCTCCGAGGTCGCTGGCTGCTCGAGTTGGTGGTCTTCTGTTTGCGCACCTGGGCACGTGTGAACATCATCTTGTGATCTCCCGGTATCCGAATCCCCGAATCCAAATCCCATCCACATTCGATATGATCCCCCTGCTTTTTGGGCGCGTTCAGGTGGAGTGTT